TGCTCTCTCATTAGTCGTCAGCTCTGAATTAGAAACGACTATGCATGAATCTTTATTGTTTTTAATCTAAATCTTAAGCTTATGTGTCACATAACATAGCAATGAAATTGTAAAAAACCAAATACCCCTAAGTTACATCTACTTTCTGTGTATTATTGATGTTAACTCTAGAGCCTAAAAGTTATGCCGCAAATGTGATGGAGAGAGATGATAGATTTTAACGTTAGTGGAGACAGAGAGAATAATTTGTTTCAAGAACAATATGTTATGTGTAATGTGGTATTCTCGGATAAACTGATTTCCATGCACATATCAGATAGGTCTGCTTAATAAGATCGGATATGATATTTACGATGTGATATGAATTTGAAAACTGACTAAGTTTAAGCTGTGTGATAAATAAGAAGACTGGACATGTGTGGTGGAAAGTGAAAACAATATTTATTGATGACACACATATAAATAGTGTGAGCACCTGTTTAAACGCTTAGACTATTGTCTTTACTGGATCTGTGATAGCTTTTCCTATCTGTGAAAGCTTTTCCTTTCTCGAGATCAATCTTTGCAGAATTAGTCATGATTTGATTAGAAATTATTTTAAAACAGATGGACTGTGTGCTGTTTATTTATTGCTGAAATTTATTGCCAACAAGTCATAGACATCTACTGTAAAGACTCCTGACCATCCATATATAAAAACCTGACATATAGGATTCAGGTTGAAAGATTTAGCATTGAAATATTCCTTTGCTGGCCGATTTGATGTTGATATAACAGCCGGAAAATGCTTTGAGAAAACAAAGGACACGAGGTGATGCTATTGTTATGACAAAGAAATTGAGCTTAAATGCTGAATTCTAGCACGCTTTCTTAGTTCGATTTTACTAGGAGATCGTGGAGAAAAAACTTATTTTAAGATCATCGTGTTTAGTTCAATGGTAGTCAAGCCGTGAGGCTAAATACACTCTTGCAGAAGCAATTACTTTTTGTGTGCGCAATTATGTAAGGTGCATTTTTTTTTTGTCTGATAATAAATATTATACTAATTTCTACTAAATTTGGTTGGCCTCTTTATTTCACACACACACGCTAGGAAAATTCAGTTAAGTTATCAGATTCAGAATTACTCTTCTTATTTCATGAGCGAATGTTCTGTTATTAGCAAGTCCGTCTATTTAAAAATTGTCGGAAAATTAGTTTTTTTATTGAAAATACCACATTATAATTAACTATATGAGAATGTTCATGTAGTTTATTCTCGAAAATTTTATATTTACAATTGTTAATTATATTTTGTTACATTTATGTCTTTACATTTTTTTTAAAGTTTGTTCTAGCTACTTGGATGAATACTTGGTATAGCACCAACAAAAGACAATTCTATTTTTAAAATGGCTGTGTTGCGTCAGCGAGTCACATGACTACAGTGACGCCACGTTTCTAGAACTATCCTGTACTTTGGCGAATGCTCTAGTGTTTGCTGGATAGGGGAGTC